CTGGAAGTGCTTTTGACACTTTTTTTGGTTTATGATTCTGCAAAAATCATGTGCAAAAGCTTGATACTTATTTTGAAGTCAAAAATAAGATGGGAAAATTTTCTAGTCGAGATTCACACTTTCTTTGCGAGCATTCTGTGAGAATATTAAGGGAAAACTCTCTCCTTGTTGCGGATACAACAAGCTGTAGTGTACAATATTTCTCACCAACTTCAAATACCAGTTACAAGTCGAAAACTTCCGGATCCAATATCAATTTTTTTGTCTAGCTGCACTCCATTCAGCCTTCCCACTTTTTTTGCGGAGGCACCTTTGCAGCGGTTAGATTTTGCGCACGGTCTTGCGTCAGTAATTTATTTAAGTGCATATTCTCCTCCTTACAAGCCATTGAAACGAACAATCCATGCCTCCTTCCTTTTCTAGTAATTGCTTCCAGCTCTAAATCGCTTTAGCATTATCAGCACCACTTTTTCAGTAAATTAGGTACTTACATGTAACGAGCAACACATCTGCAAGACGGGCTCACCGGAAACAATTTCTCTTCTCTTGTCTCAAGAGTTTCAAGGAAATTCCACAACTCTAGTGCACTACCTCCTGCCATCGCTTCACAAGTTGCCAAATAGAAAATCGAAATTCTTTCATTCAACTGCTAACGAGATGTGCTGCCTTCGAGCATTTGCTTAAACAATCATTTTATAAGCATTGCTACAGAAAATCATTTTGAAAGCACGACGAAAAAGAGACTCAACGATGAAATTTGCGTCCTTGTGATAACCACACCTGACTGCTAGAAAATATAAACAATAACATTGATGCATAAATTTTGCACCTGGTAATAGAAATTTGCTCTGAAAATGCCTTAACAAAATATAAGATCTAATTTACAGAATGATGTTTACCTTCTAGAGAATTTTGTAACAAAATCACGAAGTCAAATAAGAACATTTTGGAAGTTTCAAATGTTCGTAAAGAATTCCGATTCCTAAGACCAGTTCACCTAGACGTTCCAGCAATTTCGACTACCAAAAATTGAAAAAACATTTTTGTGGGTTTCTTCTGATCAGCTTCTATCTTTTATATGGCAAAAAATTTCGGTTCAAGCGCAAATGACAGTGTTGGATTTTCTCTCTCACTACCTATTAGATCATGATTCTTTGAGGCCTGAAAAAAATTACGAAATTTCAAGTGCAGAAATTATGCACCAACCAAATATTATAGTTCAAATGGGAGCCATGAAATTTCAAAAAAGCATTCGCTTGATTAATGCTCAATAAGATTACTAATGGTTTATCTCCGGCTCCCACCTTCCACTCTGCCATTCTTAATTTGCACTTTTGCGAGTAGCATTTTTCATGGACTTTAGCGGAATTCTAATTTTGATTTTGAGTGGTAACTCCTTTGTTGTTGTCATTCAATTTATAATCTGCTGATATTTCTGATCTTAACCATGCATAGATCAAACACCGGTAAAACTACATTAAATTAGATCATTTATCCGTGCACAAATTAGCACAAAATACCACGCAGTGACGAGGTTATGGAGGGGGGGGGGGGGGAGGAACGAGAGAAAAAGGAAACGTAAGGTCATTACAATCTTGCGAAAATGAATATCATTAACAGTCGACATTCCTTATACCTTGACAGCTTTTTCACATTTCGAAGAAGTACTAACGAAGAGCTTCAATAGGAAGGTCCGGTATCAATGGAATTAGTATTCAAAAAAGCCATGTTGTTAATTTTGCTTGAGAAAACTTTTCTCCATTGACGAAATGGCGCACGAACGAGATATAATCAGAATGATTTTTTTTGGCACATGATGGTTAGGCAAAACTGCCTTTTATTAAAAAACCTAGCTGAATAACAGCTATCCCGCTTGTTAAAGAGCTCCGTGGTTGCATATCAAAACTAAATTACTATTTTGAACCAATCTTTTAAGATTACTTTTTGATGACATTTAATGTTTCTGAAAGAGTTGGAAAGGTTTGAACTAGCTTGCTAATCAAATTAGCAGGACCCAATACTGTCAACCTTGTCATGTCAACGTTTGCACTGAAGCTATTAAAAAGGAAAGTGTTTGTAGTAATTTGATAACACGGTACAATTTCTGTGATCTTGAAAAAAAAGTCTTGCACAATTCAATTCTTTGCCTATCAACTTCAAAAAATTTTTCGCTGCTCATAGGATTTAGCGTAAATTGATTAACATGTCATAAATCAACAATTGCTTCTCTGATCTAAACATACAAACGACTACTTTCTCAGACAAATGACCGGAACTTCCGCAGAGCGCTTGCTGAAGTTCCGCCGGGTCACCTGCGGAGGTTCCGTAGACGTGCTGCGGAAGTTCCGAAATGAGGTCCTGCGGAACTTTCGAAGAATGCCAACCGCAACAGCAAAAGAGAACAACGAAGCGAGATTCGAACTTCACTCTATTGACTGTGAGACCCACCTACTATCCTCTACGCTACGGCTGGCATGTTCGATAATGCGCTGTAGTTGTTGGCGAGGCAACATCACGAGACAACACATCCAAAGTCCTGCGGAAGTTCTGGCAGGCCAAAGTGCTGCGGAACTTCTGGCATTTTTCGGAATTTCCGCAGGATTTTAAGGAAGGTTCTGCGAAAGTTCCGGCTTTCAACCAGTTTGGCATGAAAATCCCGCGGAAGTTCCGATTTTCAACGTTTTCATTTTTGCAATAGTGAGCAAAATCTTGCGGAACTTCTGCAAATTTGGCTTGTCCTGCGGAAGTTCCGGTGATTTGTCTGAGTTATTCTTTGTCGGTACAGTCTGAAGTTCAATTTTTGCTTGATGGAAGTTTCGGGCAATATGTATGTATAAGCAGCAAGTGAATAATTGAGATAATTGCAGATTAGCAAAATTCTGCAAGAGGTCTTTACCTACAAATGTGCATGGTCATGCTGATAATGGAAGTTGCAGCTTTATTAGCTGTTTCGAATCCAAGAAGAACTTTTCTTTCTCTGACCTGAATCGTTACTTATAATTTGTGCCATTGTTTCTTCAAAATGGACTGCTTTCCTTGTTCCATTGTTCACAGGTTGAAGATTTGGGGTCAAAATGTAGATATTTAATTGGGGAGGCTAGGTCGTACTTGGCATTGGAGGTATTCATTTGTAAGCAAAAGTGATTGGCAGTATTTCGTAAAGAAAGTTCATGCGAGGGAACGTAAGGGCTTAGAATCATTCAAGGCTACTCATTCTATGCGTTTCCAATCCTTGAAAATGTGGCCGGCAACTTTGTACAATACCGCTCAAATTACCGCACTCCGCTCCGTTCATCAGACTTGGCTTTGCATTACCATGTCTTTCTTAGAAGTAAACGAATTTTGAAAAGAAACACACCATTCAATCCAGCTCGACGAGATGCATCTTTTCATAAATATGAAGGTGTTTCTTTGGACGCAGTGATCGGTCAAATTTTAAGGGTCCTTCCGAAGTTTTGCTAAAGGTGGTTTAGTCGTTGTGCAATGATTGAACACTCTGAGTAACCTATTATGAACAAGAATCTGTAGAAGGATTCTTAGAAATTGACAACTGTCGTGCCCAAATAGGAACGTCTATATATTTAAAAATCTCGTCGATCTAGGTTGAACGTTGCTTTTTGATTCGGAATTTGTCGCTCTGAAGCAATATGTGGCGTGAAACGCGAAGTTCGGCGAAGTTTGGCGGAATGCAGTGATTTTTTCACAAATTACGGGCGGTATTGTATCTGCGGTTATCAAAGGTACAAAATTTCCATTTTCACGTGAAATACCCTACACTCGGAATCATCAACAATCTATCAGAAGCTATGCTCATTTATCACAACCTGATCTTCCAACTTTCGCTGACGTCAAACACTTAGGGTAAACCTCGTGGTGGTGATATTACCACTTACTTGTTATTACTTCAGCGCATATTTGACCGTTGATTGACTTTTAAGCTATGTCAGCGCAATGTTGGGATCATGACCTTTACAAAATAACAAGCACAGCTTATAAGAGACGGTACTTGACTCAAGTGGCCTTTCCCAACAAATTTAAACCATAAGGACCACCTACAATGTTGATCCCAGATTTAGATTCATATTTGTTAAACTCACCATCAAACAAAGTCATAGTTTTGTGGGTACATGTAACTTTGAATTTGGTTTGTTTCAAGACAAAAGGTAATAGCTTTTAAGCCATTCTTTTCGATTTCCATACTTAAAATGTATTTCAGACAAGAGAATCTGTAACTTTGAAGCAAACTGATTGGCAGATAGAGAAACTTGTATCAAATCAGCTTCCCAGAACCTCTTGACTGATACTATTTTGACGCATGTTTTGCAAATCATTGAATTTTCTTCTAGATTTAGAAACAATCAATCCATAAAACATAACTCTCTGTAATGCACAATGAGTGCTATATTTTACGATTTACGATACATATTACATAGCTCTTCGTTGAAACATGCGATCAGCAGTAAAAATAATAGGAATAAACCAAGTTCACAGTTCTTCTATTTATTTTCAAAAAATTCGAAGAGCACTACCTGAAATTTTGAGCTCTTATATCGGCGCTATATGTGCTAACAGTAAGTTTCGACTAAAGCTTCAGTAGAAATTGCGTGATTCCTTCTTTCTGACATACCTCAAGTTGAACAGATTCGTTGTAAACTGAGATTAGCATGAATTAATCAAAAAATTGATTTGACCATGCATCGACCTGGCACATTCTATTGATAAAGGCCACTTCGATGTCTTTCCTCATTAGGACAGACTGAAGTGCAAATGATGCAAGATGTAACATTTTTTCTGATGTAAATCAAATTTGGAAAAGTTGTGTCAAATGACGTTTTAACGCGACATCATCTCTAGAAATCTTCGTATTTCTCTCCTTTAGTAAGACATGAACATATTTGCTGAAATCTTATATCATACTCTCCGCTCTGTGTATTCGTTTCAAAAATATTCGCATATGTAGGGTAACATCGGTTGCCTTAATTTAAAGCATAAACTTTTATAGGGTACCAAAAGGTCATGGCACTGCAACTTGTGATTACATTGTTGCTATCACAATACCTTTACGTGTCCTCCTTTACCATGCTTGATCGGTACTATGCACGATTCACTCGGGAAGATCCTGGGGTAAGAAAGAACTTTACATCTCTTTTCGCTAATGATGTTTTATTGCTCAGAATCCATTTCATTCTCTCGACCAAGCACGATTCATAGAAGACGATTCACCTGAACCTGCAGAGGATGAGTCCAACGGCGAATCAATTCGGTTCATTGTGGCACCAGTGAGTCCATTTCCAAATTACACAAACAAGACCAAGGGGTTCCCTTTTCGTTCAAAAATTCGTCACTTTTTGTAGAAGTGGTCAAGAATCTGGTTTTTCTGAAAAGGCATATCCATAGGTCTTGCGCCAAATTTTGAACTGCATCAACAGAATCGTTTGATTTAGTAGAATTTAAGGCGGGAAAATTTTGCACTGAATGATACTTGCTGTGGAGAAAATCACGCGGGATATAATGGTTTACAAACTGATGATTGAGACACTTCAAATAAATTTTTTGAGTTCGGATTTCTGAAGATATAAAGACTCGACAAATTACAGTTTTGATTTTGATGGTTGAAGGATTTACTGCTCCAAACTGAGGGAAACTCGCGCTGATTTGTCATCTCTACTAGACGATTTTCGAGTATTCAGTCAACATTTCGATTTTTCAAGTAAAATCTCAAATACGCATAATGAATCTGATAAATTTAATCACTTGTTACATGTTACGAAAAGTACGCAGTAATCAACAGTTTTTGGTGCAATTTTTAAGACCTGTAATATTCACAATAGTTATAAGAAATTTTACGAGAGGTGACTGATAGTGACTGATCTCTTTTCTTGACTTTTTGGCTAAGAACTGCAAGCTTTCTGAAACTTTACGTCATACAGATACTTGGCGGAACTACCAGTCACCCCTTCATCATAAAAGTCATAAAATTGTCATGAATTTGCTGTCGAGTCCCTCCCTTCCCTATCAATGAATTTTAGGTTCAAATGAGCAATCCGCTGTACAGCTTCATTTCCAGAGCAGGACAACTATACAGGTACTATCTCCAGCAATGACAGCAACCAGTATATTATGAGAAATTATATCTGTTGAATCTAGGTCTTCCTTACATATAGAACACTTTTTAGTTGATCATAGATTCACACTGATCTACTCACTTGCTCTGTGTTTTTTCATTTTTATTTTGTTTAGTGTACTGCTAAAACGAGCGGCAAGCAGGAAGGAACAACAATTGTATTGATAAATATTATGGACGTTATCTTACATTCGTATCATGCTCACAATACAAGAATCAAATAAATAAAATAAATAAAGCAGTGCGCTGTACAAAATGGTCTTTTCATCAACCACGACATCCACCACCCGGACATCCACCGCCACCCATCATATCGCCACCGTATCCTCCACCATATGGACTACCGCCGTAGCCACCACCACCGTAATCTCCTCCTAAGAAAAATGAAGTCAATCATTATATGCAAGTACAATACCGCTCATATATTGTCAAGTCACCGATCTCCATCGAGGTTCACCAAAATCCGCGTCGCATCGCCACGTCTTGATCCGGATGAATTTTGAATCTAACAAGGGAAGGACCCTCGGTCGAAGTGGGGTTCCCAAACGTGATGCATATCATTGTGCTGGTTTTGGGGCACTAATAACAAATCCGCGTTCCTTATGCTCAATGATCTTCTGGGAAAAGTTACGAGCGATGGTTTCCCCAGAATGACCATGGATCGCTTGAGTTAGCGGCGCCGAGAAATGTCAGTTGTGGAGTGTTGGCCGAGTGGATAACTGTGGAGATTATGAAGGAATTGGTAAAAAGTTCGGAATACTTATGCTCCAAACATTTTTCCATTTTGTAGATTTAATTGTTTGGTAAGTATCCCTAGAGAGCCTTAAGGCAGAGAAATACCCGGCACTCGTTGAATGGTATGCAAAATGCAAGAATGTTTTAACACAAGCATTTCGAACGTTTTACCACTTCCTCTATAGTCTCCGCAGCTATCCACTCGGCCGTCCCTCTACAACTGACACTTCTCGCGCCGCTAACTCAAGCGATTCGTGGTTATCCTGTGGAAACCATCAGTCGTAACTTTTTTCAAAAAATCTCTGAGCAGCTAAGGAACACTTTTTACTTATTAGTGCACCAAGGCCAGTACAATGATATGCATCACATGTGGGAATCCACTTCGACCGAGGGGCCTTCCCTTGTAAGAACATTGTTCGACTCAGCTGCGATGCTCATCTTCTGATATCAAATGGGTACGGTAGACGGTCAGTCCGCACAGATTTTGACTACGTCGGTGTGCAATAAATAAGCACACCGAGTACCGTGGGCAAAAATCAATAAATATTCGTGAGATCTGACCGCCTATCGTGCACTATAGTTGTAACGAACAGAAATTTTCGCCGAATGAGCGAATATCGAATAATCAATTTTTGAAAATTTTTCGAACGAATGAATATCGAATAATTAATTTTGGAAGATTTTTCGAACGAATGAATATCGAATAATTGATTTTGGAAGATTTTTCGAACGAATGAATATCGAATATTTGATTTTTTGAAAATTCTTCGTATGAACGAATATTATTCGACTTCGATTTTCATTTTATTCGAATTCGAATATTCGAATATTGGCACATTCCAAAATTTGAATGAACGAATCCTTGAATAACCGAAATTGATCGAATATTCGACTAATTTCGAATAAATGTTCGAATATTACTCGAATATTTAAATGCAATATTCGAATATTCGAATATTCGACTATTCGAATATTCGAATAGTCGAATATTTCGAATAAATTATTTGAACACGAATATTCGGTTCCAACTATATCGTGCACCTATTGTATTCAAAGAACCTTCTATGCAACTGAAGATGTGCCTCGCCGAGCTGAGAGGACGGTGCCTCTGGACAGAATTCATCCATCCTTAATCAAGATATGACAATGCAACGTGGATTTTGGTGAATTCAAGTAAAGTTTGATGACTTTTTTAACAGGTTATGAGCGGTATAATGTTAAAGAGAACTGAAATTGCAAGAGGATTATGTGCGTATGTATTTGGTATTCAGACAGCCCATTATGTTCGAATAAGAGAATTAGCATCACTCAGATAATTTTTGATAGAACGGCTTGTCTTGAGAAGAAGACCCGTCCAGATACAAATCTATCCTCTTTTTTTTTTTGAAGTATCTTTGCGATGATAAAATGACACAAGTGGCCTAATGTCAAAAGATTCAAAATCACTCACCTCCAAAACCACCTCCTCCCATTGGTCCATAACCTCCTCCTCCATATCCGCCACCTCCATAGCCACCGCCATATCCACCTCCTCCGTATCCGCCTCCAAAACCACCCATTGGGCCTACAAGTCAAAAACTGTCAGTTGTGGACTTAGAATTTTTCTTTTCTAACCACCCATTCCACCGCCACCATAACCATCACCGCCATATCCACCTCCTCCATATCCGCCTCCCATCATTCCTCCGCCACCGTATCCACCATAATCTCCACCGCCAAATCCGCCCATGCCTGAAACCGGATAAAACTAGATACATCGGAGATGAAATCACGTACCGTATCCTCCAGGGCCTCCACCCATCCCACTGTAACCGCCTCCACCGTACCCGCCATAGCCACCATAATCTGGGCCTCCACCACCTCCATATCCACCATATCCTCCTCCTCCGTACGGTGGCCCGCCGTATCCTCCACCAAAATCATCTCCACCACCTCCATAGCCTCCGCCCATTCCTAAAATAAGTGAGGTGACCTTTTATGCTAATGTGCACCAAAATCTTACTACCATAACCGCCGTTGAAACCATCAAATGGACGTCCTCCTCGCCCAAATGACCCATATCCTCCTCCAAAACTCGAGAAAACATCTAAGCTGGGCATATTTTATGGGATGCGGCATGAAAAAAGAGAAATCAAACTTTTTTTACGTCCTCGCATGTCTTTGGCCACCTTCCCCTTAAATTTGGCCACAAATTCAGCATCGTCTCCTTGAAGTTCAGCAAACTGAAAAAATAGTTGAATGTATCAAAGCCGAATCGTAAAATTAGTTGCCTCTTGTGTCTGTTTTCCATCTTCTGACTTAGTGGCCTTGTCAACCGTTGGTAGTTTCGACTTGGTTGCCGAAAAGGCTGTTGTAGCAGTGACACACAGAACAAGAAATAATCTAAAACATTTTCCTTATATCAAGCGGTACCTCTACCTCTCCCTCTCCGTAATTTTGGCGTCTCTTATAGAGGAAAAGATTGTTTAAACTGATGCTAAGTCTTTGCCACTTCACAAATTCGTCTTATATGAAGTATGAACAATCAAAAGCGTAACAGTAAAGCTAGCAAAAAATGAAGATGGAAGAAAGAGAACTGAGAAGTTTGAAGGGCTGTGAGATTGGAAATAAAGACCACTTACCAAACCTGTGTGGCACAGAAATAATTTGAAGACTGAGAAATTTGTTAAGCAAAGAAACCCGAATTCGAATTTTATTGTAAAGGACCCGCTGATGAGGAATGCTACGGTGCAAAGAAGGTGTCAAATTCTGTTTTCCTTCTGTCACAATTTATTCTATAAGTGATGCAAACGAATCCCAACAACAACATACATGACTCTGATTGAAGTGTTTCCTCGAAAACCCCCAAAAAATGTATAATTTGTGCAGCGATGCTAATCACAGGAATCATATAATAACAAAAACCTAATTCTAAATAAGCAAATTTGAATGTTGATTTTTCATGGAAAGGATCGACAGGAAATGAAATAGGAAGTATATGATAAACTAGCTGATAGTCCCGGTCTCACCCGGGACTCTTAGTTTAACCAATATGTCATCGGCTCCCATTCGTATAGAGGCGGGTTGCAAACTTCCCTGATCTTTAGGATAAACTTGTTAAACCTCTACGTTAAAGCATTAAATTTCGTACTTTCTCGTCGAGCTTATCCTTGAAGTCACTGACGTCCGTAGCCCGCCTCCACACGAATCTGGAAGCCAACATACTTACACTTTCTAATTTCTACATTGCGCGAAAAGCGCTTCGAGACGAACCCGCTGCATCCTGTCAGCCTTGAGATTAGAATGAACTTTACCGCCCCTGCATACATGCTTATATGTAAAAATGATCGATTATCATGATGGCCCTTCATTTTCTTAGGTTTGAGTAAACACATCAATAAATCGATAGAATGGCTCAGCGAATCGCCGCGAAAAGTAGCTCTAAACCACCGCCGGGGTCGAAAACATACGTGTGCGAAGTTTCAGCCGGATCGGTTCAGTGGCGCGCGTTTCTATAACGAACGAACAACTAAACGAACATCCTACAGACATTGAGTTTTATATATATATATAGATTTGTCGAACACTTGTAGTAACAGTAGTAATTTTGAGTTGATTTGTACATGCAGACAAATATTATCAAATGAGTTTCTAATGTTCATTCTTTTTGAAAATATGGAATAATTTAAAATCTAGCAACACTACCTAGAAATACTGTGTGAGAAAAATACCCACCTTTCTTGCATATCTGACCCGGTGTGGTGCAGAAGCGGCTCTTTGTTGTTTCATGGTTTATATGGACCCGACGACGCATAAACGAGGTGACACCCTTGCTGTCACCGCGCGGGTGTCAGCAAGCTTGCTCACTTTTGTCATGCATGCTATCGTTGCTGAAGCAATCTATTTTCATCATGGGAAACAGAATTACATTCTGCTATCATTGAATGACATGTCATGCTAAAAGCGGTGACGTCAAGTTTGTTTTGTTTACGAAGAACAAAAAAGAGGGCAATTGCCGGATTAAGCAACTCATCTCAAAGAGATTATATTGCTGTTAGGTTTGCACAGCCAAAGTCTCGATGAAATAATCAATGAGTATGAAAAATCCTAACTTGGAGTATATTTCAAATGGAAGAAAAATCAAATCAACCACAAATTCCTTGGCGAAATTTGCAAAAAATTCATGATGTTTTCCATTTTCAGAAAATCGTGGTTGCATACGTTTTGCAAAGACAATAATGGAAGTTGTAGTGACAAGAATCCACATATTTCGGGCATACACCTATGTGCAATCCCATTAAGAGATCCTTCAAATCGCATTTTATTCAATTTCAAAGACTACAAATGCAAAAAATCAGGGAAGTATGATCTCTACACTTTCTACAGTTGCCTGAATCAATGTGCCTACAAAAATCACAATTATTGACCTTTTTTAGGCTTTTTGATTTTTTGAATATGAACTCTTTCATATGAATTGGTATTGAACCAGTGAGGAAAGTTCTTTAAACTAAGTTTTCTAAAAAAAACTTCAAACAAAAAAAAACATCCTCTGCGCAGGATAGAGCAACCTAATAACTGTTGTATGAACCAAAAACAGTGAATATAAAAGTTTGACTGAACTTTAGTATAAAGAAAAACCATTTTTTACGAAGAACGCCTTCCAAACCTTCATTGAGCATAATTTTAGCATTGTTCACCATGATTTCTTCTTAATTAGATTGAAAAGAAACTGTGCTTACGTGTGACGTTATTGAAGCCTTTCACTACTTAACATTATAATCTCACTTTGCTAAAGGTATGGTAGCCAAACAATGAGTGGTACAAATTTGGTGCAAACTATCCTCTCAAACGAGGCGAGCGCAGCTTTACTACATCTTCTTGGAAATCAAGGGAAAACTAATCGGAAACAATGAAGATTGACAAATTTTCGACTGCTCCCACATTGAGCAAAACAATGTCATTGAAAGGGATCGAACCACCAGTCATTCCCATGCTTGCCGCCTTCGTCGCACTTTGCCAAATTTGCAACTGGTTTTGATCTTTACATTCTCCTATAACCTTATCCAAGCTGTAAACAAGTGGACTTCCTCACAATAACGTTCCGAGTTATCTCCACTACTCCTAACTTGTGAAAACACCATATCATACTTAAAAGAGTGGCCAGGGGTACTTTTCATTATAAACAATGTGATGGATTTACAGTTGCGACTCATAAATGAAAAGCCATTTCCACGTTTGTTTCGTATGGCTTTAGAATAAAACCACTCACGAAGCAGTCATGATAACCTACTAGAGTAGCGTGTGCACCGTGAAGGCGGGAGCTGGTAGAAAGCTGGACATTGATCCATACTAGTTTATCTATAATTCCACCAAAGAGAAAGCAGATTACATAAAAGAATAAATGCAATCAGGACTATAGACTATACCCGCGTACCCAGGATTTCAGCTCGGGGGGGGGGTGTGACAAAAATTTTTTCTCGAATGAAGGTGCGTGGCGTTAGCCACGCACTCCGAAAAAATTTGTGCTTCTCAAAATTTTTGCGGGTCCCGAACCCCTAACTTCTGGATAAAAGGGGCGTGGCCTCAGCCACGCCCCCGAAAAATTTTGTTTACAAAGCTAATTTGAATTTGTAAAAATTTATAAGAATTATTTTAATTATTTACAAGTAAAAACAAGTCGCTTGTACATTTTTATAACCCATACATACAGGGTGTCCCAAAAAAATGTATCGAACGTTTGATCGTTAATATCTCTCTTCTAAAGAAGTCTTTTCTCTTGCTTCAGGTACCAATCCGTAGAGCTGGCTTCAACTTAGATTTGAATTATAGAACGAATCACTCATTTCTCTTCATTACTGTAGGATTACGGTAGAAACTTCGAAGAGGGTTTTAAGCAATGAAAGGCCATATTTTGCCTTAAAAAGGAAACAAAACAGCCTGAAAGCTTTTACACTAGGCTAATTAGAGTTGCTGATTATAACTGTAAAGTTCCCAACTTATTATGATGCTTCATTGAAGAGTTATGCCAGGTAAGAGGTAGCGGCCATTTTTTCAATATCCCTAAAAAGTGCGATTACACCGTTTAGAAAGCTTCGTAATCTTGTGAATAGTTGAGTATTGAACTCAGCGTCCATAAAAACCCTATTGCACAAGTTTTCACAATTTTTTGAAAAATTTTGAAACGGCAGTTTTTTCCACATTGGCACCATATGTTTCAAGTTTCTACCGTAATCCTACAGTAATGAAGAGGTATGGGTGATTCGTTCTATAATGCAAATCTAAGTTGAAGCCAGCTCTACAAAATGGTACTTGAAGCAAGGCAAAAGACTTCTTGGGAAGAGAGATATTAACGATCAAACGTTCGATACATTTTTTTGGGACACCCTGTATAGGTGACTTTCAAAAATTTCGCGACTCGTTCTCGTCTCGGGGGGGGGGGGGCCCCTCGGTACGCCACTGCTGTAGGCAATAAGTTAGATGCTGATGTGGGATCGGGGCGACATCTGCCGTGTAGTCGCGGAGAGGAAGGGGCAGCCACTCGGCAGCTAGCATCTCGATCGACTCCCCGGGGCTTGCTACGGGAGTTCTGGCTTGTAATGCGTATCATTCTCATCTATACCAGTTGATCTCACGCTTATAACATACTAGTATTTATCTGTTACACTTGTCTATAAATTTGCGTGACCGATTATACTGGAAGGCCGTCAGAAGATGGTCTACTGTGATGTAATCATAATCAAACCATGGTAAAAAAGTGCGGATGTCTGCGCTGCAAAAGTACAAGTCAAAAGTAGAAAGCTTCTTCTAACAGCATGAGAAAACTCACAGTGCTCTCCTTATTGCTTTTCTTGCATTGCGAGTTCGTTGAAGAATTTCTCGCGAGCGTCGTTCTCTTCTCCTAAAAAATTTATCACCTAAATTATAGTGCACATGAAGGTCTTCAGAGAGCATACAAAACTGCTCATAATTCGTCAAAATAGTCGCCGGATTGCGGCTCACTCCGCCGGAGTGCGCTACAGTGCGGCGAAATGCGACGCAGTCCACTAGAGTGGAGCGGAGGTCGCCGCACATTACTAGAGCCTGTTGGAACCAGCTTCGCATCGCTATATATCTCACTTCAGAATGGAAAAATTCTGAATTTGAGGAAAGCGATTGTTTCACCTCGGCGAGACGCATCATATGGTATGAAGTGCCACAATCTGTCGATGTACTTTAGGTATATGGTAGGCAGTAAAAATTTTCGCTCAGTTTTGCACATTTTTATTTGATTAGATTACTCAGTATGATGACAGCAACATCGCCATTGATTTGCTGCTGATGGCACTTCGGACGGATACTGTTGGAGTATAGTAAAGAGTCACTTTGAACTTTGATCGATTGGTTCTAAGTCCAGCTCAGGGCATTTCTGTTGCGGTCATTGCGAAATTACATTCTTTTGATGCTCAAGGCACAGTGCGCAAGGATCTGCGATGTAAGGTCATTTTAGTTGCGTTCGAAACGTTGCTTATTGTTGCTTTCACGTGTTGCTCGTTCTAAACAGAAAGATTGCACGTCGCACTGGCCATTTGAAACGAAATGGTGTTATTAAATGCGCCTTGTGAACTGCTTCATCCCTTTCCTTATTTGCTGAACGGCTCTCCAGTAGAAGTTAAAGGTGTCTTCAAACTTCGCAAACAATCACTATCACAGTAAGAATTAGCGGTACAAGCCCTTCATTTATCTAATAAAATTTTTGACTTCGTAGTGAGTAATTAGCCGCCCCCCTCTTCTTCAGCTCGCAAAAGCGAGTACGAGTACTAAAAGAGCCCGGCTGAGCTCCGATTTCGATTCCACCCAAATCAAGCGCAAAAGACACGGATAAGATAAAAATTTACTTTACTTCCCAAAATACAGAAAAGGCAAAAATACTAGATAAGCTTCAAGACAGGGAAATTACATGATTTACGTTAGAGAAAGAAAATGAGAAAGAGAGGCCCATAAGGGGCCTCAGAGAAAGAGACAAATGATAAAGATGAAAAATGAAAAACTCAAGAGCTTAAATTCGTCGTTCGGTCCGTCCATGGCCAAACGGCCAGATTATTTGAACAACTACGAAATAATATTAGGTTGTTACATAAGTCTTGTTACACTTTAACTTCTTATGACCTTAAGTCGTAGTTTTCAAGATTTTAACAGAACTCCAGGGTACCATTTAAAAAAAGCAAAGAAGTTCTACGAAACAGTGTGCAAAAGTTCGCACCATCTTCGACCCACCACAAGTTTGCATCCGGAATGCGAGTCGCATTGAAGGCTCAAAAATTAGGAAAAATTCATATCTTTATTTGAAAAAGTCTAACAGATCTCCAACTTGCTCATACAAATCGTACACTACATCGGGCACTCATAAGTACCGTTGCTGTATTTTTCCTCATTTAGAAGTCGAAAAAACGAAAACTTCCTTATATTTACAAAAACCAAGCTATGCTGTATTCATGTAGTTGTAAACTACAAGCCCTTAGAAGTATAGCTGTAAATTTTCGGCTTTCCACAAGCCCCAGTTTTCGAATAATACAGAATTTAGCATTTAACACCCGAGCGAGAGAAGCTAAATTCGGTGACTCTCGAAAACTAGGTTATGTGGAAAGCTGAAGCTTTACGGTACACTCCTAATGGCTTGTAGTATACAGCTTTATGAATAAAAAGAGCATAGCTCCGTTTTTATAAAAACAAATCGAAAAGTAGAAGATGGTGCGAAATTTTGCAGACT